AGGCAGATTGGCCGAACTCGCCGCAGCTCCTTGGGGCAGCATGTGGCCTCAGACTCCCCGCTGTCGGTGCGGCCAGCCGAGGTGGGCTGCGCGCCCCGTTGCGCCCGAAGCCCTCTCGGTCATCCCCGTCAGGCAGGATGGAGGTGGGCGGGGACATGAGGGAACTGGCTCTGCTGCGCTCCGCCTTCGTCGCCTGCGACGCAAACAGCTCGGGGCGCCTGGAGCGCGAGGAGTTGAGCAGACTGTGCGCAGAGCTGCGCGTGCTGCGGGCGGACGCCGAGCCCGTGTTCCAGCGGCTCCACGCCGACCGCGACGGCGCCATCACATCACCTTCCCGGAGTTCGCGCGCGGCTTCGGCGGGGCCCGCCGCGGGGGACGGCTCTGGGGCCAGGGGCCCCGGGAGCCAGAGTCCGCCGCGGCCCAGGCTGTGTCCGACACCCGGGGACGGCGAGGAGGACGAGGGCGACCAGGACGCGGCGGCGGCGGCTCTGGCCGCCCCCTGGGACCTGGCGTGCCCCAGCTGAGCTTGACAGTACTTCCAGTCCAGGCGCGGCTTGGGTTCGAGGCCAAGTTCATCCCCAGGTGCGTGGCAGGTGCGTGGCAGGTGCGTGTGAGGTTTGGAGGGCGGGAGGTGGTGGATGTGTTTCCTGTCCTCTCTGGGGCACTGCCGTGTCTTCCTCTTACACTGCGGGACCTTGCGCACTCTGAGTTGCTTTTCTCCGTTCATCGACTCACTTTAATTATTTCAAGATGAGGTCCCCTAGAGTTAGGAAAGGGGATGCGTTCAGAGTCAGAATCTGGGGAGAAAGTTTTACTTGCTCATATATGAGCCCTGCAAAGGGCACTTAGTAAACACTGGCCAAAGTGGAATCCGCAGTGTGCGGAGATTCTTCCGTGACACGGGTTTAGGAGCGCTCCCCGCACCTCCACGGCATAATTGAATCTAACCTCCTACTCTAGGCCCCGAGGATGCACCAAGCGGCCACCCTGAGCTTTGACCCGGACCGTTCGTTAGCCAGTTTGGCTTTCTCTATAGTGGTTTTTGTATTTATTGTTTTCCTGCTACTGTGTAGAAACCAAGACATTGTTGTGCATCTTATTGCTGCACGCAAATATTCTTTGATGCCAACTGTGTGCTAGATATTTCACAAGTTCTTTCGTATAATTTTCAAAATAATCTTGAGGGCGTAGACTTTCTTATCTGATTGATGGAGAAATTTATACCCAAAGACGTTAAGGGACTTGCCCAGTTAATAAAAGAGAAGCATTTGATTCAAGATGTTGTGAATTGAAAAACTCGCTTTTTGTACCACAAAATAAAATGATAAAACCATATGATAAACTCTCTACTCTTCTGGCTCTGACAGAAATAACATAACTTCAACATCAAGTTACTTATCTTAATTCTCAGGCGAAAAGGGGATGCCTGCAGGTTTCCGGCATGGAGGGGAAGATACTCAGGTTTTATTGAGTTTAATTTGCATCTGTCTCTGCCTGGAGTCATGGTGTTTCTTGAGCTATTTTGACTTCTTCCTCAGGCACTATAGTATGTTAATTCTATAAAATGTTTTTCTGCTCTCTGGATTTTCATTGAAATTTTATGGATTTCTGGCTGTCATTATTAGGAAGATCTGAAAGCATCGTTTTGGTTGGCAGTTCACATATCTGAGACAAAAGACCCAGAAAAGGAAATAGCCCTGGAAGGCAGCAGTGGGCTGGCTCACCCCTTCACTGCTTAGACCTGTAAGGCTGGAGTCCTCACTTCCTCCTCTGCCAAGCTTCTCCCCCCAGTTTGGAAAGTTTGGGGGATACTGGGCATGGAACGTGACTGATTGCAGTATAAGAGGGATTGTATAGGAAAGTGGGTGTAATGACCATCTTTTCTATTATTTTCAAATGAGTGAAAATGCAGTGTCTCCAGAAGGGAAGTAGAAAAATTTAAACTTTGCTATAAGCCCTATACCCCCACCCCATTTTTGTGTTGTTTTTATTTTTTCTTTAAAATCCATTGATCATCACAAAAACCCAGGAAATTTAACTAAGGAGAAAACGAATGTTCAGCTGATATCTAAGATCCCGGAGCTACGGAGGAGACATGGCACTAGACTGCTGGGTGTGCGGGAGGGGGCGGAGGGATGGTCCCCATGGGACAGCTTCAGTCATGAACTTTGAATCATCTTTTATCTGTAACTTGGTTGGGGTCCAGCTAGTTGAAAAAGGTAGCAGTATTAGGAATAAGGAAAGGTGAGCCCACGTCATATTTTATACACACACACATACACATGCACACTGAACTATTTTCAGTGTTGTTAAATCTCAGTAGCAAATAGTTGACACTTAACCTTTAAATGATCAAAATGACCTTCTTAGTTAGGGTCAGCATACAAACCAGGACTTAATATTATTGGTAACATTATTATTACCAGGATGCCCTTCCAATTCTTGAAGTTATTAAATTTAATAGCATTGGTGTCACCTGGTAGACTTGTGTCCTAAGCCACACCCCTGACTAATGTGAGATTGACAAGTACAGTATTTACCTTCTGTTCAAGTGGAAAAGGGCTAAACTGAGTTGCTTCATCTGATTGAACTGTTCTGAATGAACATGAACTGCTTTGGTAAGTTGGGTGGCTTCCATTCCACCTCCTCATACAGCTGTTCCCCTTCTCTGCCTCCCACTTAAATGTGATAGCAATCTTTTGTTACTGACAATGCCATTGCCATTATTTCAGCCAAATTAATTCTGCAAACATTACTGAATGCCTGTTTTCTTCCAGGCACTGTCTTATGTACTGTCGTAGGTCCCTGGAGACAAAGAGAAGGAGGAGATGTGGTTCATGCCATCAAGAAATTCAAAGTGTGGGTGAAACATTTCTCAAAAATTTCCTCAAAGAGCTTGTAAAGGCAAGAGAGTTATTTGCAGGAAACGCCATGTGTTGTGGGCATAGCCTGATAGACTCCCTGTGAGCAGGAACTTTGAAGTTTTGAGTTTTTATCTTAAAAAAATCATGTATTTGTTCATTTTACACTGTAATATATTGGGGCTTGTTCTGTTTTTTTGGGGGGAGTAATTAGGTTTATTTACTTATTTATTATGATTATTATTTTTTATTTAATGGAGGTACTGGGGATCGAACCCGTGACCTCATGCATGCTGAGCATGCACTCTACCACTGACAGTGGCTGTGGGGATGCAGTTTCTGTAGAGGCGCATCCCTTGTCAGAATTAATGAATGTTGCTAAATCTCATTCCACTGATTTTGCAAATGTGTGTTGGTCACATAAATGTTTTTGAGCGATAAGGATGAGGAGTTTATATCTGGTTTATGTTTGTTCATAGTTAAGTAACATGGTATTTATGTCAACTCTGGAATCTGTAGGAGGTACTTTCTTTTAAGAAGGTCTATATGTTAATCAAGTGTGAGAAATACTGTTCTAAAAGGACTTGAATGCCTCAAGAACTATGTAAGATTGAAAATATTAGTTTCTCCATTTCTCATTGCATATTGATCTTGTTGGTCATTTAAATTGAGGGCATAATATTGTGGAAAAATTTCATCTTAAATCGCTCCGGTCTTAAGGATCAGCTTTGTCATTTGTCCACAGAGGGAACTCTTCTTGCCCTTTTCTTATGTCATTCATTCATTTTTTTATTTAAAAAGTTTTTTTTTGATACCCACACGTACCTGGGACTGCGCTGGGAACTGGGTGCTTGAAAATCATATCAGTCAAAAATCACAGTTTCTTGGCCAGTTCCTCTCTCTCCAGAAGTGATGGAGTGTAATGAACGGAAGGAGTCACAAGGTGATGGTCTGGGTCCAGCTCTCACTGGGGGTCAGAAATCAAGCAGGCCAACTAAATTCAGGGAGTTTCTTCCTCTCTTCAATAGAGAAGTTGTCTCCATTTATTCTGTGTGGTGGTGTTACAGTTCCAGCAAGAGAGATTCTGGGTCTTAGTCAAATTATCTCCAGATTACCATCTTTTCCCATCCCATGGGCTGTGACTGATGTCACGGAGGGAGGCTCACAAACTCAGAGACTCCGGGGCCAGGCAGGTAACACTGACCCAGCAGAGTGGAGTTGGGGCCCAGTACCAGCCTCTGCTTTATCTGCTGGAGGGATGGACAGATGTTAGGGTGCAGGATGTAGGCCCAGAGTTGCCAGCAATGCCAGCTTATAAAGGATGGTGAAAAATCCAGATTTTAAGTAGAAATTTCCAATTTTGCATACTCTGTGAAGGTCAAAGCATGGAGATGGTAAAGAAACTGTTTCCAGTTTGCAACCCCTGTTTCCTGCCTGTGCCCTGGTAAATCCAAGGGTCAAGTGTGATCTTGCTTTGAAGATCCTTGTGGTTGTGAGCATGTGGTCCCATGGCTCCCTAATTTAGATCTTTAATCATTGCTTTCTTCCACTTCCAAGTTTGTGGGTTAGTGCTTTGACTTGAAGATAGTCTGTCTTTATTCTTTTTTTTTGCTCTTGGATGTTCTTGTGCTTTTCAGAGTTACCTTGTTCAGGCTCAGCAGTTGTTGCTGTAAGATGTTTTCTACCTCCAGGTTATGCTGCCCTGATGGGTGTGTCCTTGGGGGAGGAGGGCTGAGCTCTGAAAGCATTGAGCTGCCCAGAACACCTTGGGGCCTGCTGTCTTTCTTTCTCTTCATTTGAAGCTGGATGTACTTGTCTGTCCCAGTTTTAAGACATGTAAAAAAAAAATCAATTGGAATGGAATGATTTCTGATGAAAAGTGAGGGGATTTGGTGATGAGAGGTCATATTTTCTGGTACCACAGTGGTATTTCCTTTCATTGTTAGAATATTTTATCCTTCAGGGAGAAACATTTATATGGGGATAAAAAGATGCTCAACATCACTAATCATCAGAGAAATGCAGGTCAAAACCACAATGAGATATCACCTCATAGCTGTTAAGATAGGATGGCTGTTATAAAAAAAACACAGAAAGTAATAAGTGCCAGTAAAAATGTGGAGAAATTGGAGCCTTTTACATTGTTGTTGGGAATGTAAAGTGGTGTAGCCACTGAGGCAAAGAGTAAGGAAGTTCCTCAAATACATTAAAACTAGAACTACCGTATGACCCGGGAATCCCACTTCTGCACATATATCCAAAAGAATTGAAATTAGGATCTTGAAGAGGTATCTGCCCCTCCATGGTCATTGCAGACTATTCACAATAGCCATGAGGTGGAAACAGCTTAAGTGTCCATTGACAGAGGAATGAATAAAGAAAATGGGGTTTATACATGCAATGGAATGTCACTCGACTTTAAAAAAAAAGAAGGAATTTCTGCAGTATGTGACAACATGGATGGACCTTGAGGACATGGGGCTAAGTGAAATAAGCCACTCACAGAAGGAGAGATAATGTATAATTCCACTTATGTGAGGTATCTAAAGTGGCTGACTCTTAACCAGTGGTTGCCAGGGGTTGGGGGATTGGAAAATGAAGAGTTGCTGTTCAGTGGGTTCTAGGGTTTTAGTCATTCAACATGAAAAAGCTCCGGAGATCAATAATGTGCACATGGTCAACAATGCCGTCTACTTAAAAGTTTGCGAAGAAGGTAAATTT